CATTAAGCCTGAAATTTCTCAACAGTCAAACACTGGACCACAAATATTAATGCTTGCTTAATTAACCATTTTCCCCCAATTCCCTTTGGGCTCCCTAATAGGATTTCTGCATGTCCAAAATGTCATCTAGAAGAAATCCATGAGAACGATGTCCAATTTTCCTTAATGGGGGTTGGGTAGGTTTTTGGTTGTTTTCTATGGCTATGAATGTTTATTGTCATTGGGAGATGGTTATAAATTATTAATGGTCTTATTCGGAGATTAAACAAGGTTAGACTCAGGGATTCCTCTCTTTTACATTTTCTTTTCTCTTTCTTTCTTAGATAAGGAGAAAAGGGGTTAAAAAGAAAGAAAGGGGAATACAGGGATATCTTATAGGAAACATAAGACAAAAAGTAAATTATTGAATCTACTCAACTTAAGGTTTCATTTGTTATTCTCAAATAAGGTTAATTTTAACTCTGGTATAAGATTTTATATATTAATCCAAAATAAGTCTATTTTTGCTACAGTGGCATGAGCTTTAGTATTGATACAAATTCAAAGTTATTTCCAGTACTTTTAAACTGCTATTAAAAACTGTTTAGGATATTAGATAATGCAAGTTAATTGCTAGTTAATCAACTCATAGTCATGTCAGAAACTAGTCTAATTTATCACAGGAATATATACATCCTAGGTTTAACAGATTGGATATAATTTTGTAGACAGATTACATAAAGATAGGTAGTCTTCAAAAACTTCAGAGACCTACAGAATATGGCAATTAAAAGCATCTTTATTATTTTAAAGATTCTTTGACAATAAGACAGGTCATCTCTTAGCAGCACTCCACCTACCTCAAAGAAGATGATGAGCATAGAAGAACTTCCATATGAAGATGGCTTCAAATGTGGCAAACGAGCCACTCAGGTAAAGAAAATACGCTTGCTTCATGACAGACAGAATCTACCAAAAATGGGCAAGTTTAAATGCAGGAAAAGTTGACTGCCAAACTATGCCAAGACAGGGTAAGCAAGTCATAAATAGTTCTTGCTTCACATATATATTTGTCACATATTCTGAGCCAGAAGGCTGAAGATGATGCTCCAATGTTATAGAGAGTTATGGATGACTGTTCAGGCAGCAAATTCTCTCTGTCAATTTTTTATTTTTTGGAAGCTGCTAACATGCACTTCCTATTTATTCCATAGTCAGAGTAACTATTTTTATTCTTTCTCAAGTCCCTGATGGGGTTGAAGACAACTATATAGTTATAGTTATAGTTATGGGTCCACAATTAAGCTTAATTTGTTTAGAATTTTAAAAAATGTTTTCATATAGGTAATACCAATAAGGATAAAAGTTAATTTAGGTATAGCACTCTAAACTAGATAAGATAATCAAATGCTTTCTTCTAAGTTACCAAGTGCATGTAAACAGGACATGGCAAATGTAAATCTTACCTAATAATTTTCATAACTTTTATAATTATTTTTTTATTGAAAGAAATGGAGCCTTTTATTGGACTTAATGGGGGAAATGTTGGTATAATGTTCTTTTGGAATATATACAATTTACCCTTATTCATTCAGATGCTGATTTCTCTAGCTCACTAACTGGTTTCAATCCAGACATTGCACTGTCTCAAGTTTATGTAAACATGCCACCATTTGTTCTCTATATTGTCAATTAAACAACCAACCAGACAATGCTGTACAATGGAGAATATAGGGTGGGACATCCTGGTCTGGAGAGAGGGGGAGATGGAAGTGAATGGGGAGAGTAGAAGAGAGAATCCACAAGAGAGGTCTAGGAACCACATGGAGAGATGGACCAGAACTAAGATATGACTAAAAGCAAGTATAATGGGTAAAATCTGAATGGTAGGAAACTGTGTGGGCTTGGAGGTTTAAGATGGAATAACTATTGCCCAGAATTATGCTCTAGATTAATTAAATAAATCCCAGTCCCTGTATGATGATTTGGGTATACAGCAGGTTTAAGACTAACCGGTGTTTAATTAAAAGATATATCAATAGTAAATATTAATATCAACAACATTGTAATATAAAAGAAATAAATTTAAAAATATATAAAAGATAGGCCTTTTCTGTCTATGAAGTAGATCATGTATTCTTTGTCTTTCAATTTGTTTATGTGGTAGTTTAAGTTTATTGATTTATATATGGTGAACTATCCCTGTATCTCTGATGTATCCAATTTGATCATAGTGGCTAATCCATTTAATGTGTTCTTATATTGAATCTACATGTATTTTATTGAGAATTATTCATGTTTTATTAATCTTTAAATTTCCTTTTCTGTTGGGTCATTTTATGGTTTGGGTGTCAGGGTAACAGTCACTCCATAAAAAATATATGCAATGTTTCTTCACTACCTGTTTCATGAAAAGTCTGAGGAATATTGGCATCAAATATTCTTTGAATTGCTGGTAGAATTTTTCTGTTGAATCCATTTTGTCCTGGTAGTTTGGGAGTTTAGGACTTTTAGCTACTGCTTCTATTTCACTGAGGTCTGTTTAAATTTTTCTTGATCTAATATTGATACATTATATTTATATATACATATGTATATATATGTATATATATATATCTATATCTCAGGATTTTCATTTTGGTAAAATATTCTCTATTTAACAGCAAATATATATATATATATATATACAAATATTTGTTTAAATAGTAATAAAATAATTAAAAGGAAGATCATTTTTCTGTCTTTGTGCATCTGTCTTCTCCACACAGTTTTCTTATATTTTGTAAGTCCTTGGAATAAGAGTACAGTGGTAACAGGAAGAGGTAAGAGAAGTAGACAGACTGGCAATGATCCAGCAATCCTGAGGAGCAAAGGCCTGATGAAGGATGCCTTGGCAGAATAGGGTGAAAAGTAGCCCCCACTGAAGATACAATAAATACCTGCCAACTGTGAAAGCAACATAATTTGAAAAACAAAACAGGTCTTTGAAAATGTGATTAAACATCATAAATTGCAGGGATTATCCTGGATTACTTCAAGTGGGTCCTGATGGTCATTATAATATTCTTAGAAGAAAGAGGAGGAAGAATCATAGAAACACACAGCAAGAGGAGGCCAAGTGGAGATGAAGTAAATTATAAGGTGTGGCTACAAGCTCAGGAGTGCTCGCTTGGCCATGAGACACTGGAGGAGGCAAAAAGCAGAATCTCTTGGAACCTTTAAAAAGAGAACAACTTTATGAACATTTGTGGACTTTGGATAGTTTAAAGGGCAATCTCAGAAAATCACTATTCTCCCTGAACCATTTTTCTCCCATCTTAGTAACTAACAACATAACCTAGCCTTCAGGTCAGAATCCTGGGTGGCATCCTTGACCACAGAAGTGGTAGCTTTATGCATGAATTACTGCATATTGTCATTCAGAGCCCTTCACAGGTACTGTTCTTACTTAGTTCTAATCCTCACACAAATGTTGGTACAAGACACTAGTATCATCTCCCATCTTGTAGGACAGGTTAGGTAACTGGTACAGCAAAGCCCAGAAGTACCCAAGTCCAAGCCAAAGGACACATTGTTCTGCCAAACTATCTCTTAGGTGGATTTGAGTTCACTGAGGTTTTGTGACCCTGGAAACAGCTAAGTAGCGATGTCAAACATAAAATAGGATGGGGATTTGGTCTAACCTCAGGAGGGTTCAGGGCCAGAGATACTTCTATGTGCAACTCAGCATAGAAACATTGTTTAGAGTACTAACTCAGAGTAAATGACCCAGGAATATTGGTGTAGAAGCAGAAAGGGTACCCCAAAAACATGTTCAAGTAACACTACCATTTGAAGTTCAGAAAAGGAATGAAGGAGAATGAAGGAGAACAAGGGGACCAAGCTAAATAGCGAATAGTGAGAAGAACATGGAGGTTGGAGTAAGAGGGATTCATGAAATCATGAAAGCCAAGAGAATGGAATGGTCCATTTAAGGTCATTAATGACAACAGCAAAGGTCAGTGCTTTCTCAATGACAGCCATGATAGAGGTAGGAGGTTGTCTTTTTGGAAGCTGTAGTTAATTCATGATGAAATACATATTAGGGAAACACAAGGAACAAGCTGACAAGAAAAAGTTGGATACACACACACAGGTCAGATTATGATGGTTCCCCCTAGCCAACATTCTTGTCATTTTTATAAAAAAACATGTCCCATCACATTATTGGACAGGTACTCAAACTGTCTCAAATATCCTCTACATCTTTTTTGACTATGTAAAGCCAGCTCAAGTGCCATCTCCTCTGTAAAAAAAAGTCTAAGTCTATGTATAGGAGGATTCTAGCCATTTCACCTTCTGTGCCCCTCACCCCCACACCAAGGAAACAAAGCTTACTCCTCTTATTTATAGCACTTCAATTGTCTGCCTTTGTTATTTCCCCTAGCACCCTGCTAGGTGTTCTTTAGAATGTAGGTTACCCAAGTGTCACATTACAAATATGCATGAGATGGTAAAAGACTGTCAATTTTCTAATACTTGAAATTACTTGAGGAGAAGGTCAAGTCCTCTGACTACTAAATACATGTCTTCAGGTATAGACTTTTGGAAAATTTTCCATGGGAAAGAGAAATGACTCAAATCAAAGCCTTTCCCTATGTGGGTAACAGATACCAGTCACTTGACCTTTAAGTTTTCATTCATATAAAGGACTCAGCCCCCTCAGCTAGTGGAAACCTAATAAGAGCTGTATGTAGATGTGTTTCTACCACATTTCACGGCCATCTCACATATATGAGTACAGCTTTATGTGATTTATGGAAATTTTATATATGTGCAGTTTCATATAGCTGAGTCTACTCTAAAAGGATATATAAAATATATAAAAGTAATATATTAAAGAGGGAGGGGCAGGCACAGACTATATCAAAAAAAAACTCACAAGTTAACATGACAAGGAATTCAATGACCTCTTCCAAAACCATGAAGGCTTAAAGGAAGCATGTAAAAACAAATATTTTAAAAGGCTACCAAACATGTACCTTGTTGGTATCAGCAACACTGTTTTGTCGGGCATCAAAGATGATAAGTTTATGTGACTGTGCATTAGCATCCATTATCGTCTGCAGGTATTTTTCATCTTCTTTGCAGCGTTTATCATTGGGACCCACCAGTGGCTGGCTGCAACGTGTAATAGTTGCCTGACTTTCCGGGTGAATCCATGACAACACCTAATGTTTTAGAGCAACAAATAATAAATATCTGCTGATAGATATTTCTAAAATAATATATTATCTAATTTATTGGTAAAATGTACAGTCTCTCCTAAAGAGTTTCCTGTTATGAGTAAGTAAGCTAATGGCCAAGAGAATTAATGTGTTGGTCATGCTGAAAGAAATCCGACTAGACACTCTCTAAAAGTCCCTTTCTACCTTTGAAAATAAAATAAAATAAAACTTAAGTCAATAAGTTTTAATAATTAATTAATAAAATCTAGCTCCATTTATATTTGACTAGCTAGTTTCATATTTTTAATAGAAAAAAAACATTGTCTACAGTAAGATAGCAGGGTGAGGTCTTCAAATCTGTAACTTGAAGTTACAAATGTATAACTCTCCCATTTTTCTACAGTGGTCAAATAATACGAAATTATGCTGATGTACACTCTGAGCAAAACTTATCATTTCTCTGCATAGTTGTTTTTAGTACCATATGCTACAGCAATCCACACAGCAGGAAGAAAGAATGTATCTTCTCCACAGTGAATGGTACAACCAATGAAGTATACTGTAGTGTACCAGCAAGTTTATTCTTGTTACTCCTTTATTATTCTTGGCTATCCCCTGAGGGAAAAACTTAAGTTACATTTTCATTTAGAAATAGAACATATACTAGAGTGAGACAGATCAAATGAGTGTTTATATAATGAGGTATTTCTTAAGAATCAAAGGTAGAGTCAGGTTTATAAACTATTCTTTTCTAGTCTCCATTTTGTTATTAGATCAAATGTGGTGTCTCTTTCTACCTTAATGGTAACTCTTAGTACTTACAGGAACTCTGCCTTTTGCTCGAAAGGCTGCCACTTTTGAAAGGTCATCATCTTTTACACTAGTTGGCACAACAATGATGGCAGGGTAGGTATCACAGAACTCATAATTACTGTTTATTTTTGATATTTTCCAACTCTCATTAGGCAAGCCCTGTAGGGTATTAGAGAAGGAATAAGAAGGGGAAACATTCATCTCTACTTTGAAAAAAAAAACCAAAGTATGAATCACATTTATTTCTTATTTTAAATGAAAATTCATTTATAACTTGTTCATTGTTAATTAACTAATAATACCTCAAGTCAAATTAATGCAGTTTGGATATTTGTTCATCAATTCTTTATGAGATCTGTAATAAAAACATCTGGAAGCAGATAGGGGTGTGGCTTAAAAATAGAATGCTTGCCTAGTATGTGTATAATCCTGGGAGGGAGAGTGGGGAAGGAGAAAGGAAAGAAGGCAGGTAAGAAGACAGATAGGAAGGTAGAAAAGACATTTAGGAAAATAGCAGCAATGAGGAAAGGAGAAAGAGGAGAAAGGGAATTAGGGAAGGAGGAGGGAAGGAAGGAAGGAAGGAAGGAAGGAAGGAAGGAAGGAAGGAAGGAAAGGTGGCTTCTCAAAAATCTGAGTTTCAAGCCTTTGTGCACACATCCTCTGGAAAATGATGACTAGGCAATGATGGAATCAAAGGTATGGCACAAGAGAAGAGGGCACACAGAAAATTGAGACCCAACAAGCTAGAAAAACTAGGCCTACTGACAATTTGTTGGCCAGCTTCTTCTCCACTACTACATACCTAACCTTTTAGTACAGACATTTAAGCTATCATATTCATTATGACAAGTGACATACTCTACCTGTCTCTTATATTCAGATACTGGATCATAAACTTTCCAGCCATTAACTGGAAACTTTTCTTTATAGTTGAATGCAAATAGCACCTGTACACAGAATCCACAAAATACATGTCAGTATTTATTATCATTTAACAAATAGCAAAGCTTTGTTCATTCTGTTGTTAGCTGAATGTGTTATAACTCTTATTTTAATTTGCAAATTTTAAAGTAACAAATTAGAAGTCCTGCTGTCTTCTTTTGTTTCTCTCTCTCCTCTCTTTCCTTCCTTCCCTCCCTCCCTTCCTCTCTTCCTTCCTTCCTTTTCTTTCTTTCTTTCTTTCTTTCTTTCTTTCTTTCTTTCTTTCTTT